AGTGTAGAAAATTTGTTTGGTTATGATTTTTCAATAGAGTGTTGAATTGAGTTTTGAATTGAGTGTAGAATTGAGTTTTAAAAGTTTGATTTGACATGTGACATAAGAAAATTTGTTTGGTTATGAGTTTTAGAAAGAGTTTTCAAAACTTAATTCAAATTATTATAACTAATAACAAAACATACTACTTTCACACTATTAAATATTCTGATTAACACTCATAGCCAAACTCTTTTTAAAATTTAATTAAAAAAATTATTATTAACAGAAAATAACATTAATCAATTTTTTAATTGAAAATACTACAAAGGAAATAATTTTTTTAATAAATATTCAAAAAAATTAAATCTTAAAAATTTAAATAATTTAAATATTCAAAAATTTTAAATAATTTAAAATGTTAATATTTTAAATTTAAAAAAAACTCTATGCTCAAATCGTAACCAAACACATAAAACAAAACTCAATTAAAAAATTATTTTTAAAACTCATAACCAAACACATAACTCGAAACTCCATGCTACTTTCACAACTCTACACTCAAATCGTAACCAAATACATAACAAAAAAATTAAAATATTTAAAAATATTTTTATAAAATAGAGTTTGAATTTATTTTTATAAAATATTTTAAATTTTAAAAAATTAAAATCATAATATTTAAAAATTAAATTATTTAAAAATATTCAAAAAATTAAAAATTAAAAAAATCGTAACATATTTAAATATTAAAATATTTAAAATCTTAACAAAACTAAATATTTTTAAAATATTTAAAAAATTAAAATATTGATTTGAATTGAGTTTTGAAAAGAGTTTTGAATTATATGTTTGGTTATGAGTTTTGAAAAGTAATGATTATGTTTTGAATTGAGTTTTGAGAAATGGATGTAGAATTATGATTTGAAAGCTCCAAACAAACAACACACTCAAATCAATGGGTAGAATTATATTTTAAGAGGCTTACCAAATGGAGCCAAAATTTTTATGGCAAGATCAAATTGTAATAAAAACAACAATGCTAGAGACCTCTAAAAAGGCATCTCTAAACCCACCTCTAATGAGGTGGAAAAGCAAAAAAAAAAAATAAAAAAAAAATCAAGACACATGATTGGCTGTGGCAGTGGGGGACCCACTGCCACATCACTAGTGCTACCTCTAAATTAGAGGTCTAAAGCATTTTTGTAATAAAAAATTGAAAGATTGGAGTCTATAAAAAAAATAAAAATGTCTTAGCCCTAGTTGCTACTGTCTGAGGGCATGTTTGATTGACATAATTAAAGTATATGATTGAGATTATTAATCCATAAGTCCAATAATCTTGTATTTGTTTTGAAATTTGTTTCATGATTATTAATACAATGGATAATTAATTCAATAAATTTGTAAGATTATTAGTAATGAGGTAGATGTGAGATTATATATCCTAAGCTGTGAAATAAAATAACCTTGACTAAAAAATTAAAATACTTATTATTTTTATATAATTTTATATTTTAGAAGACTAAAATTTAAAAATATTTTTTGATATTTATTTTATCAAACTAGTTTATATTTTAAAACAAAATTAAAAAAAAAAACCAAAATGGCATTTGTATTTTGTATTTGTATTTTGCTTTTATTTATTTATTTATAAATTTTTTCAAAACTACATTTATAAAGAAATTTTAACAAAGTAAAGATTGTGAAAAAACATTAATTGGGGGTAAAATTAGAAATGAAGATAAATATAGTTGAAATTCTACATTAATATGTTTTCTTATCCAATGCAAATCAAACAATGAATAATGAGATAGTTTATCCCATTGATCCAATTAGATATCGAATACCACATTAATTTGATGGAATTATTAATACTTTCACTATTAGTCTTGTGATTCAAATATGACCTTTAAATTGTTTAAAAAGTAATATTAAAAATCTCAAAAATTTTATTAAAATTCTTATTATATATCTCACATGAGTAAAGCCCACATAAAATTTACATAATGTGAATCATATATCCATATAAGATATCTTATAAAAATTTTGAGCACTCCAACATTTTTTATATCTAAAATTGACTTGGGGAGCAAACCGCCTCCATGGGCCGTAAACCGCCGGTTTTAAAGGGCCGCCGTTCGAGCGAACTGTAAAACGTATGAAAATGCTGGAAACACGCATTTCACGCTCAAGTGTCACTTCCCCCGCTCGAGCGTGAGTCCAAAATCTGGAAATTCCAGATTGAACCTTCAAGCTCAAAATCAACTTTAAATGTACTAAATTCGATCCTTTTGGGCTAATTTTCTGGAAAACACTTGTAAACTCATAGTATGACATGTTTCAAAGATCAATTTGAGAAATCAAAGCCCAAAGGTAGTTCAATTGAACACAAATTTCAAGGAGCTTTTATGAACAAGACTCGAATGTAACATGCATGAGCTTAAATGAATTTAAAGCTTCAAACACAAGATCAAATGAGCCAATCCTTTAAAAAACATGAGGAATTCATGAACTGAATATGCATGTGGGAGTTTTCGTGAAAACAACTTCAAAACTCTACAACAAATACATGCATGCATGAATTCTTACTCAATTCAACATATTAAGCTAATTCTTGACTCTACTCTTCAATATATCATGAACCATGCAAGAACTAACTTAAATACAAGTTCAAGAAGATGGTTCCTTTACCTTATGCCTTGAATTCAAGATGTGGAAGCTCAAATATACAATTTTCTTCAACTCTCTTAATCTCCAAGCCAAAACAAGATGAAATCAAGCTTTCCTCCCATCTCTCTCTTTCTAGTCGGTTTAGGCTCAAGAAATGGCTTAACAGAGTGCTAGAAATAAAGCATCAAATGTGTTTTATGAAGTGGGCTACTAAGTGGCAAAATGGTGATTAAGGCTAACTATTGTAACTTAGCTTATTTAATCCAATTTAGTCATTCCAAATCAAATTTTAATTAAATCTACCATAAAATCATATATATTATAGTTAGCATAAAACATTAATCGATTTCAGATTCGACCGCCGATAAGGCTTTCAATTTACATATTAAAGTAGAATTCCCAACAGATATTTCTATAAGTAACAGATAGAAAGCCAGAATCATGGAAAACACAAAATAAACACATAAGTTATTTTAATTCTCTCATTAGCATCGTTAAATACGAATTAATAGTTAGTTACGAATGGGGGTTGTTACAGTTAGGATAATCATGTTTTTGTTATTATATTTTATTTTATCACATTGTGTGACATACTTACATTTATTGAATTTAAAGGATCCTATATGAATATTAGTGTGTATTCCTTGTTTTTTTTTTTTAGAAATCAACATAGAAAAAAAGGAAAGAGAGATGTATAAAAAGAAAGAGCAAGAGAAAAGTCAAGATCAAGAGAGAGAGAGAGAGAGAGAGATCAACCTAGAAAAGAAGTGCATGAGAAGGGGTTAGGGTCGGTGGAAAAATGTTGAGAAGAGGTGAGATATGGTTGTCAGAACTAGGGATAGATAAGGAATTGAAGAGACAGAATAGGATCGATAGAAAAAGGTTGAGAAGAGACGGGATAGGATTGTCAGAATTAGAGATGGATAGGGAATTAAAGAGAAATGATAGAGTCGGTGGAAAAGTGTTGAGAATAAATGGGATAGAGTTGTCAGAACTAGGGATAGATAGAGAATTAAAGAGACGAGATATGGTCAGATAAATAGGGAATTGAAGAAACGAGATAGGATCGGTGGAAAAGAATTGAGAAGAAACGAGATAGAGTTGTCAAAACTGGGGATAAATAGGAAATTAAAGAGACGGGATAGGGTTGGTATAAAAGGGTTGAGAATAAACGAAATCGAGTTATCAAATTTAGTAATATATAGGGAATTAAAGAGATGGGATAGAATTCGTGAAAAAAGATTGAGAATAAACGAAATAAAATTATCAAAAAGATACGTATGAAATCAAAATTAGTAATATTGGCTAGGGTGAGAGCGAAAGTGGAGCAAAGATAAAATTATAATTAGAGCATGAGTTTGAGTGAGCAGTGATGAGAACTAAAATTTTTATGGCAAGATCAAATTGTAATAAAAAATTGAAAGATTGGAGTCTATAAAAAAAATAAAAATGTCTTAGCCCTAGTTGCTACTGTTTGAGGGCATGTTTGATTGACATAATTAAAGTATAGGATTGAGATTATTAATCCATAAGCCCAATAATCTTGTATTTGTTTTGAAATTTGTTTCATGATTATTAATACAATGGATAATTAATCCAATAAATTTGTAAGATTATTAGTAATGAGGTAGGAGTGAGATTATATATCCTAAGCTGTGAAATAAAATAACCTTGACTAAAAAATTAAAATACTTATTATTTTTATATAATTTTATATTTTAGAAGACTAAAAATAATTTTTTAAAATTTAAAAATATTTTTTGATATTTATTTTATCAAACTAGTTTATATTTTAAAACAAAATTAAAAAAAAAAACCAAAATGGCATTTGTATTTTGTATTTGTATTTTGCTTTTATTTATTTATTTATAAATTTTTTCAAAACTACATTTATAAAGAAATTTTAACAAAGTAAAGATTGTGAAAAAACATTAATTGGGGGTAAAATTAGAAATGAAGATAAATATAGTTGAAATTCTACATTAATATGTTTTCTTATCCAATGCAAATCAAACAATGAATAATGAGATAGTTTATCCCATTGATCCAATTAGATATCGAATACCACATTAATTTGATGGAATTATTAATACTTTCACTATTAGTCTTGTGATTCAAATATGACCTTTAAATTGTTTAAAAAGTAATATTAAAAATCTCAAAAATTTTATTAAAATTCTTATTATATATCTCACATGAGTAAAGCCCACATAAAATTTACATAATGTGAATCATATATCCATATAAGATATCTTATAAAAATTTTGAGCACTCCAACATTTTTTATATCTAAAATTGACTTGGGGAGCAAACCGCCTCCATGGGCCGTAAACCGCCGGTTTTAAAGGGCCGCTTCTCACATGCCTACTTACCTCGCTTCACCTTTTCACTCTCCTTTGCAGAAAGCCCTACTCCTGGTATTCTCTTCAACAAAAGAAAGGCCTCGGCAGTGCTGCGTCTGTACGAGAGACAAATCTAACCTTTGTATTCGTCGACGACAACAATGGATATGCAGAACGACATGGATCGCATCCTCTTCTTCGAACACGCTCGCAAGGCCGCCGAAGCCTCCTACACCAAAAACCCCCTAGATGCCGAGGTTCCTATTCTTCTTCATATTCATATTTAATCCCGAATACCTACTTTTTATCTTCGTCTCTTTTTGTATTTTTCTTGAATTTTGATTTTTTTGTGATTATTTGTGTAGAATCTGACGAGGTGGGGAGGTGCGTTGCTCGAGTTATCGCAGTTCCAGAATAATATTAACGAATCAAAGGATATGATTCAAGGTTCTAATCTCTCTCTCTCTCTCTCTCGGCTCACTTTGTATATACGCTTTTGCTTAGTTAATTGAATTTCGGTGCAAAAGAAACGAAAACATGGTTGGCGGATTGTAATTTTTTTAAGTAATTATATTTTGGGCAAATGGGAATAATTTTTTATGGCAATCGAGATTTTAAATTCGTGTCTGTTTAGTTCGAATGTTGAACTGCGATTTTGATTTTAACTTTTGATGAACGAGTGTTACGTAGATGCTATGTCAAAGCTGGAGGAGGCCTTGATGATTAATCCCAAAAAACATGATGCTTTATGGTGCTTGGGGAATGCAAATACTTCCATTGCATTTCTGACCCCTGATCACGACGAGGCTACGAGTTATTTTGATAAGGCATCCAAGTACTTGCAGCAAGCTGTTGATGAGGTAAACTTCAGTTCTAGGACCGGATGCAAACACATGTTCGTCACATAATAATATTGGTGGGACTTGCGATTTTATCATATAGCACTACTTAACTGTTGTGTATTCTTCTTCTTATTATATTTTTAGCATGGTTTTTGGAGATGTGACCAAGAGTTCTCGTGCATTGTAGGATCCAGAGAATGAGCTATACTGCAATTCTTTAAAAGTGTCTTCTAAGGTACAATCTTGCTATCATTCATCTAGGTCCTTAACTTCAAAGATAGGCTTTGTTGTGTTCCGTTTGAATTACATGTGTTGCCTCTTTAAATAAAGAGAGAATTACAAGTCAGTGTATTTCTTCAATCAAAATTTCAAATCAATGGTAAAGTTTATAAGCTTTAATAATTAAATTCATAAACTTTTCCACTAATCTGTAAATATTTTGTCAAAAAGTCACTGATATATAATTTTTCCTTAAATAAAAGGGCTCTGACTAAATGAGTAAGAATTTTCATTGTAATTTTGGCAATGATTACGATGCTTATCACAAAGTCAAATGATCACTTAACACCAAAGTTTTGACTTTTTGTGTGTTGGAATCTTCGATAACGAGAATTTTCAGTCTTCTACTATTAACTGTTTTTGACTTCATATATTCGGTTTTTGACTCGATGAATTCAACCTTGATTTGTTCTGTCTTCTACTATTATTTTTTGTTGGGTGGGATGTACTTTTATTAAAGAAAGGTGGCAGTATTTACAGATACTGTGAAGATTGAACCCCATTTACATGAGAAAAACTTCAATACAACGGTGGTATCATTGTCCGATAACGAAAGACTATATAGTATGGTGAACTGCACAGACATATGTGGTATTTATTGTTATATACATGGCAGTTCTTAAATTGGTTTGGTGGGGTTCATCATACCCATATGTTTTTTTATTATTTGACAGTGATACCACTTCATCATGATGATATGGTATAACTGTTGTATTGAAGTTTTCTTTTTCCCCATTTACACACCATCTTCTGGACAAGCAAGAGGAAATACAAGCCGTCTCCAAATCACCTTGCTTCACATACAGATGCTCTTTACCCCAAATAGAGAGTTAAAGCATCAAGACCCTTACAGACGAGCTAATATTTGTAGAGACTTTAATAGATCAGCAGCAGCAGAGTACCCTTGTAAAACACTTATTGACTTATTGTAACCTGGCGCAGATGGACACTGCTAATAGTTACATTCAGCGTATATCAATTCAATTGTGTATAAAAATAGTTCACTAGCAGCAGAGCATGATTATTTTGCAGAGCACAGATTAGATCAATTGTGTATTAATTTTTTAAAGTATTTTAGTATATGATGTTTTGGCTTATCACCATTATTGTTTGATGACTGTAACTATCTGATATTTGTCAGTTGTTTAAGTTTCATTGTTACTCTTATTCTGAACTAAGTTTTTTTTATTAGGTTTATCAGCGTGACCTTGGTAAATTACTTTTCAAAATACATTGACGGTATCATTTTTTTCTGGTTTCCTAGGCACCTGATTTGCACGTGGAGATTCATAAGCAGGGATTTGCACAGCAAGCTATGGGTGGTGCAAAGGTGATCTCTTCAGTTTTTTGCCAACCTGTCCTACTTTTATGTCTTTACTCCTTGTATGTAGTGAAAGCTGTAAAGAAAGGTGTCATTTGCCCAACTTACTGCGGAATGCTAATTTTTGTGTTGCATAACATTGTTCTAAACTAATATCTTTAGCACTTCTTCCTGGCCCAGCAGAGAGAGGCCTGTTTGTTAGTTATCAGGCTTAAAGCACCTCTCCCTATGCTTCCCAATAATTTTTTCCTGTGCTTAGAGTTGTTACATCTCTGTCTTCCAACATTTGAGTGCCCTCTGTTGGATTGACAAATTCTATTCCTATATGCTGTACAAGTGTATTCAACTTATTCACCCAAAAAAAAGTGTATTCAACTCATTACTTCAGATGTTGCATTGCTGCTTTTAAAAGACTGGTCTTTCTCCACTTGATATGAAATTTCTGAGTTTTCATAAAATACATCCATGTTTGTGTGGTTGTGTGCATTTGAAGTAATAATTGGGAAATTTTTATATGGGGATTTGGTGTAGTTAGTCATACCTTTCCAGGAAACTCATCTATAAGCCTGTAATGTAGAATTGAGGGGAAGCATCTCTCCATCATTTCCTTGGACACCTGCTGTAGTGATGCATTTAATAGTTCTTCAATATTACGTAAGCTTTCTTGTGTTCTACAATAACTCTTGCTAGCGAGATAATGGTGGTGGGGATAGTAGTTGTTTTCAATTATGTACTCCAGTTTCTTTCTGATGTTTTGTCTTTTGATGTCTGATTGTGTGTTCTCTTGTGCTTGGAGTGTGCTTAATAACTTTTTCTTTTCTCTTTTCTTTTCCTCTTTCAGCCTGCAAATAAAAAGAATAATGATCTCAAGTATGACATCTTTGGATGGATAATCCTTGCTGTTGGCATTGTTGCATGGGTAGGGTTCGCAAAATCTCAAGTTCCACCCCCAACTCCTAGATAAGTCAAGCTTTTAGGTATTTGTGGGAATACATCAGAGTTGAAAATGTTATTTATTTTTCTTTACCAGGATGTGAATTTATTGCAGATCAGCCTCTAGTAGATTCAATTCCTTTTATTTTTTGTTTATTTCCCCCATAGTATTGAGTACTTGTATTTGAGGCCCCTAATCTAGTGAAGGGGCCTGGCTGGCAAACTACGAAACTGTAGCTGGTGTTCCTGTGGTGCATTGTTTATTTTTTTTGAGAACAGTGGTGCATTATTTATGGTGCACAGCTTTAGATATTAATATTCACTTTAAAGGGTGATATAGTTTGTAGAAACGTACAATAAATTCACAAATGTGTGACTGCCACATTTGGCTGGGGAGAAAAAGTCTGGGTGGGTGACTGTATGAGAGATTAAATTTGTGGTGTAGAGTATATATATATAGAATAAATCTGAACCATAAGAGGGTTCGTAGTATTGCTATTTGGGAAATGTGACTAATCAATGAGGTTTGAGCCATGATAAATTTGGATCAAAATGATCATGATTGGAGACTTATATGTGTTCTTCTGAGGGAGGTAGGCTCTGCTTCCACTAGGTGGTAAGCTGGAGGATAAGCGTATACAATCTATTATTATATCACAGAATAACCAGCACTTTTGGTTTGGTATGGTTTCTGTTTTTTAAATGAAAATAATTTAAAGTTTGAAAATACCTTTAGCTTTTTGATTTTATGAGAACAAAGTTTTTGAAAATTCAGAAAATAATTTATAAGTGTAATTCTATAAATGGCTGTTTCAAAAAAAATTAGCAAATAAATCATAAACATTTTTAGAAAGAACTTGGTAAATAAGTTAGTATATTTTATGTTATTAAAATAAATACAGAAAATAAAAGAGATACAATGGGCCTGAAAATTCTCTAAGGCCGGCCGTTTCACTTTTGGGTCTTATGCTTTGTAAAACAATTTTTTTTTTTTTTTGAGTGTTGTTATTAGCACGTGCTAAAATTCTTTGGACTTTCTATTTTATAATTTTTTTTTTATTACAATTATACCCTAAAGTAAAATTACATTAAAAGACATTATGAAATGGAACACCCACTTATCAATAATAACTAATACTCTATAATATTAGACACTCACCCACACCTCCACTCCCACCTCCAACTCTAACTATACGTATTCCATGTTTGTAAACCTTAAACCTATTACTTTTCATAACCAATTAACATAAACTCTAAATCTATTATTTTTCATAATCATCTTAAATCCTAAATGTGTCATCTTCATCACCATCATCAACGCTATTGAACTTGAAAGTTTTGCTTCAAGTATAACGTATACTTCATCACTTATTTCACTGTGTAGAGCAATGGAGGACGATGACAACATTTTCGGTCGTTTATCTGTCTTGTATTAGCATTCTCGGTCGTTTTCGGCCGTTCTTGTTTCGTTTGAGCTGTTCAGTATTGGTTTGCTGACTGTTACAATTATGTTCGGTAACACAGTACTGAACATAATCCTTTCATTCAATACATAAGTTTTGAACATTAATGCAGATAGTCAGTTATGTAATTTTCTTTGTTAAACTAACTTAGAATGGAAAAGAGTGAATTAGAATGGATTTAAGTTATGTATTTTGAATGGATTTAATTCATGTTATTTTAAGTTGTGAATTAGAATGGATTCAAGTTACACAGTGATGAACAAATTTTGTTCGGACATACAGTACTGACAGGATAATTGTTGTTCGACAAAACAGTTCTAAACAAAATACATTTTTTCGGCTACATAGTGGTGAACAAATTGGGTGGGTGTGCTTTTCATTGTGAAAATATGGAGATTAGTTTTCTATTCTGAAAATATTATGGAGATTAGTTGTCCATATATATACATAGTTTTCTATTCCTACAATTCGCATCAATCTTCACTTTCTCATCTGAATTTCCCAATCAATGGCAAATTCCAAAGAGACCCACGTCGTCGAAATCCTAATCAACGAAGAACACTAACCTCACAAGTAAATGCATTGTGTTTTCAGGAACCACTTTTTAGATGTGGTTAATGTTGGAGAGAGAAGAGAGAGAAAAAACTAGGGTTTTGAAAGGGTTTTGAGAGAGAGAGAGAGAGAGAGAAAAAAAAAAAAGAGAGAGAAAAGAGAGAAAAATCTTCACTTTCTCATATGAACAAAAGGGGTTTTGAGAGAGTGAAAGAAAAGAGAGAGAAGAGACATCACTGATGAGGAGAGACAGAGAGAAGAGAGGGAATTGGAATGGATTCAGGTGGGTGTGCATTTCATTGTGAATATGGGTAGATTTGGTAATAAGTGGGGTGTTCAAAAAAATATTATTAAAATTTAGGGTTTAGGGTTGAGGTCCAAAGAAATGGGAGGTCCAAAGAAATTTGATAGGTGCTAATAGCAACACTCTTTTTTTTTGGGGAGGGAGAAATTACTAAGAAGTCCTCTTTGAAAAAGTTGTGATTTATTTAGTCTCATAACCTTTTGTTTACACTCAAAAGTCTTATAACACTTTTCTTCTTCTTGGCTTTTGTTCTTCTCTGTAGGCAATCATCAACGGATAATTACATCTTACTTTTTCTTTTTTCTCTTTCTAATATATAGTTATCGGCGACTGACGACTATCATTGATTGGGGTTCGCTAGTAATCATGGACCGTTGATTCCTTACTTCACCTTCACCGACGATGAAGAATATATGTTTTCAACAAAGAAGACGAGTAGATCAACTTAGGTCTGATGTAGATTTACATCAGATCTGAGTAGATCTACATCAAATCCGGCTAAATCTAAACAAAAAATAGTTGTCAGAGTATAATCCTCTCTCTATATCTGTTTCCCTTCTTCGATCTCTTAATTTTTCTATATTTTTTCCACTATACGCTTCTCTTTTTCTGTTTTAATGGAGAAAATTTTCAAATTTTAAACAAGTTGTTTTCAAGTTTTAGTCACGGGCGGTGAAAATTGTAAAATTTTACAGTTTTAATTCTTTTTGGTGTTGAAATGAATCATGGTTTAAAATTGTAAAATTTTAAAGATTCATAAAAATTTTTAGAACTGTAAAATTTTGTAGTTTCATAAAATATTTTTTACTTTGATTAAAAAGGATAAATGCTTAATATATTTTTGTTTTAAAACTGTTTGCTTTTTAGTTTGATCCATATTGGAGATTATTTACTTAAACCCTACAAAAATTGAAAAATAGCATATGTCTTTTTTTCATTGTTGCTGCTTTTTGTCGTTACATTTTTTTTCTTTTAATTTATCAATATTCAGAACATTTTGCTATGTTCTTTCACTTTAATTTCTCCATTTATTTTTTTTCGGGCAATATTCTAGACATTCCGGTGAGTTTCCAACGATATTCTTAACGTTCAGCGAATGTTTTTGGACATTCCAGCGACTTTTGTTGATGTTTAAAACACTTCGGTGAACTTCCGGCAACTTTCCGGCGATATTCCGGCGACTTTCCAGTGCTGTTGAACATTTCGGCGAATCTCCGGTGACTGCAGACAGTAGTGAGATGTAGCATCATCTGTAAATAAATATTTTTTTTGTAACAATTAAAAATATATAAGATTGATTGATATAAATATTTTATTTTGAAATTAGATGAGTTTTAAACTGTGACAACGCTCACCACTGATTACTGCTAAATTGTGACTGAACATGATAAGTAACTGATTAGGATGAAATCCTAAACTGATTGCATGAATGTGTTATATTAAATGCATTTCTATCTGTCTGTTATTGATTTATCTATTCATATCTTAAGTTTGAACTGTAAATTGAAGGCCTTATCGGCGGCCGAATCTGAAATTGATTAGTGTTTTATGCTAATTAGAATTTATGTGATTTTATGGCATGTTTAATTGAAATTTGATTTGGTATGATTAAATTAGATTAAATAATATTAAATTACATTAGTTTGAATAATGTACCATTTTGCCACTTAGTGAGCCACTTACTAAGGCACCTTGAGACTTATTCAAACACATTTCCTCAGCCATTTGAGACCCATAACCGAGTGAGAGAGAGAGAGACTTGAGAGAGAGTTGTTTCATCTAGAGAAACTCTTGGAGAATTTGAAGTTTTGAAGAGAGGATTGTATATTTGAGCTCCTACATCTTGAATTGAGACCTAAGGTAAGAGAATCATCTTTTTGAATTTGTATTTAAGTTGTGTCTTGCATGATTCATGGAAATTTGGAGATTAATGTCAAGAATTGGTTTAAAATATTGAATTGAGAGCTAGATCATGCATGCATATACATATTCTTGCATTTTGAGATTGTTCTTCAAGAATTTCCACATGCATGTCCATATCTTGACTATAGTTTATGAATTCATCATGCTTTTGAAAGTTTTGACTCATTTGATTATGTATTGGAAGCTTTGAATTCAATTGAATACATGCATGTTATGTTTGAGCTTGTTCTTGAAGTTTATTTAAAAATGTCGTTCAATTGAACTACCTTTGGCCTTTGACTTTCTAAATTAATCTTTGAAACATGTCATATTATGAGTTTTAAAGTGTTTTTCAGAAAATTAGCCCAAAAGGATCGAATTTGATGCTTTAAATGTTGAGTTTCATGCTTAGAGACAAATCTGGAAATTCCAGATTTTGGATCCCCGCTCGAGCGTACACTCTGAGCTTATGCAGTCCGCTCGAGCGGGGAAAGTAACGCTCGAGCGTGAAATGCGTGTATCCAGTCCTTTGCATGTGTTTACAGTCCGCTCGAGCGAGGGAATGCACGCTCGAGCGAGGACTTGTGTCTCACGCTCGAGCGGGGGTCGAGCGCCCGTCGAGCGTGAATTTCATGCATCTAGTACTTTTGCAGTCCGCTCGAGTGAAGAAAGTTACGCTCGAGCGGAGCTCCTTTGTCTGCATGTCCGCTCGAGCATAGAAAGCCACGCTCGAGCGAGACCCTTGTTTTCTGAAAATTTTGAAAAGTGTTTTAAAGTGCATCTTTGCATCCTCATTCCATCCTAGGCATTCTTAGACCTAGTTTAAGGTATCTTAATGCGGATAATGCTTTAGAACCACACCGAGTCAAGATAGGGACTAAGTTATTGTTTCCCAAATGTGTAACTTAGTGTGTGTTCATCCTGTAACTGTGTAGGGTTGGCATTCGAGGACACTCATTAGCCTATCTGTGACCCAGAACTCTGTGAGTAATAATGCTGTAAAGATATATTCAATCATGAATATTTTTTGAATGATCACCGTACTGCTTTCTGAAATGATATTTCTTACTGAATGAATGCTTGTCCTATTTGCGAACTGTATTCGTGGCATTCATAGCAATTTACTGTTACTGTACTGTACTGCTACTGTCACAGAGATCTCTGTCGGTTCCCATGTTTGGAACCACTACTGTTTACTGATATGATGGCCATCAACTGACTGTACGGTCTGTTAAGACCTACTGTACTGTTTGCTATTGGATGTACTACATATGACTGCTATGATCGAATAACTGATATACTATCCAAATGACTGTTTTAAATTCTGAAAGGACATTCATTCCTAACCTCTTTACGCATATGTTATTCACTGGGTTTTAGCTCACTATTTATGTATATATGTAGGTGTCCAGGCACCGAATCGGAGCTATGAGCGTTGGGTTTAACTCCTTTTTGTCAAGCCAACCACCGTGCCTCACTGTGAGGTTCCAAGTCCTTCAAGCTAGGGCTTTTGGGGTGTTTAGATTCATCATTTCTGTCTCTGTTTTTGTATAGACTGCCTGTACCTGTACTATACTGTTCTAATAGGGATTAGGTCTCTGCCCTGGATGATTGTGTATGTATGTATATACTGCTTTGGTTCAGAATGTGAATATGTTATGAAAAGTCTTTTTTTGCATACAGACTGTCACAGCTCATTGAATATTTTTTATTACTGTTTTGACTTCTGCTAGTTCCTGTACTCTGTATTACTGTTATTACTGTTAAACAGGCTTTTGATAATCACGGATTACTGACCGATTACGATACTAAACCCATAAGAACGAATTTAGATCGTGACATAAACTTTATATATATGAGATTTATTGATAAATTCCCTTTTTTTTTTCTGCTCCATAAATTCTTCTACAAACACAACAGGATGTAATAAATACAATCACACAGCCTAATAGAATATTCGGACTCTAGGGCATGTGTTGATTTGCTCGCTTGGAATTGTAAAAAGAATTTGTAGAAAAAAAAATATATATTTGTGAAAAAATATTTTAAAAAATTAATAATACATAAAAATATAAAAAATGTATTGAATTTTTGTATTTTTTTTGTATTTTTAGTATTTAGTAAATTTTTAAAATATTTTTTTCACAAATTTTTTACTTTTTAAGTATATTTATGTTAGGTATGTCTAAAAATTAAAAAAATTACTTAAAATATTAAAAAAAATTCAGTAAAAACAAAAAAATACGAAAAATAAAAATAAATTTTTTTTTTAAAAAAAATATTTTTAAAATACTCAAACCAAGCAAAGTGTACTTAACATTATTTGACGTCGAAAGTCAAATATCAGAGCAAAGCATGTTTTACATTAAAAAATATAAAGAGCAACAAGTGCCTTGGCAAAGCAAGTTTTTTATTTTATTTCGTAGAATGGACAAAGCCAGAAATAAAAATAGACAAAGCCAGAAAACGGAATACAAAATTCAGAAAGACCAACGATAACAAAGCTAAAGGAGTTTCCTCCATCCAAACTGATAAAAGCAAAGCAAGTTTTTTATTTTATTTTTTAAAATGGACAGCCAGAAAACGGAATACAAAATTCAGAAAGACCAATGATAACAAAATCTAAAGGAGTTTCCTCCATCCAAACTGATAAACCGTTGGAATGAATTGCCATCCGAGCCAATCCATGGGCTGCTCTATTGCCTAGCCAATCAATGGTAAAGCAAGGTTTGGAATGGTAAGATACATACAACCTCCATTTGATAATATTAGAAACTAATTGATTACGGATGATGGGGTTCTAGATTATATAAATTAAATTTGATTGACAGACACAGAAGTTTATCTCATTTTATCTTTTATTTTTTTCTTGAGGAGGTTAATATTTAGACAATAATGTTAAGAACTAACTTTTGAATATTATTTTACGTATCTCCATTAGATATTGTTGTTTTAAGCATAATTTATAAATTGATTTTTTCACATGTTATGAAAAGATGTAAAAATAAATAAAAATTAATGTGATCCAAATAAGTTAATAAACAACTTATTTATGATGTTGTCAAATCAAATCTAAATAAATCTTAATTTTTAATAGTCACGATAATACAATACATCGTAAGTTTTACACCTAGTACATTCATGATACTTTAATAATGTTGCACCTAATTTAAAATTTTTATTTTTAACTAAAGCTATTATAGTATGACATTGTTTGGAAATGAGTATGGAGTTTAAATAGTCAATAACAATAAAAAAATATTAAAATAATTAATAAGATAAAATATTATATCTTATATATCAATTAATAATTTTTTCCCTCATATATTTTTAAGTATAAAAAAAATTTCAATCATTCTAGTCCCAACTTTCTTTTTTTATTTTTTATTTTTATTTTTTTATTTTTTATTTTATCTCATAAAATATAACTAAAAAAAGAAAGAAGGAGAATGTTGGGTTGGGGGTTTCAGTCGCATTCGCGAAAGCGCTCTCTCTCTCTCTCTCTCTCTACGTGAATCTTTTGGAGCAATTCAGCCGGAAAAAATGGCGTTGGAAGCGAACGTTTGTTGCGGCAGCGGCGGCGCTATGTCCTTGTCATTCCGTGGCGCTCTGAAACCGTTCCCGAGCCGCGTCTCGTTGCTGCAGAGCATCGAACCTCGACGAGTCCCATTCTTAGCGTTGGCTATTGTTAAGAGAAGCCCTAAGCGTCTCAAATACTCTGCTCCTCGCTTTTCCAAGGTTCTCTCTCTTACACTATCTATCCTCACCTGTATTTCACTCTCATCTTCTTTCTGATTTGCTCATTTTAGTGTAACTTGATCACTATGTAACAACCAAACCAATTCTAATTTGCGTTTGATGTTTATGGAAACAGTAGGTCTTCTGATTAATAAGATCATTAGTAAAGCTTGAATGGAAATTTGGAGTGCTTGCTTAAAACTGAGGGTTATTTAGGGGTTCAACTGCTGGTGTTGTTGGTGGATATATTGCCCCTAAGAATAAAAGAAATTAGGGAACCTTGACTGTATCTTATTTTGCTAGATATTTTTATTTCTATCCATTTTTTTACAAATTAAGATGATATTTTACAAGTTTTAATAGATTGGTGATCTTCTATGAGGTATGTGCTTAATTGGGATTTTTTTTTTCTTTTTTTCTTTTTTGAACTTAAATGGAACTACACGCATAGGGCTGCTGATATCTAAATTTTTATGTTGCTAGTTATATGTATATATCTATGTTTGTATGAATTTGTTTCTTATGATGCTTATCGATCACCATTCAATCTCGTGGAATATATTTTAAGTAGTGACAGTGATGGAAAAGGTTAATGGCAAAGTTTATGCGAGACAGCCTGAAGAAAGTATATAGAGATATACTATATTGAATAATTTTAATCAAGAAAATCGATTTCATTAGATGGTGTCCCAGTGTTTTATGTGAAATGCTAATATGTCAAAATTATGATTGAGCTGTTAGAAGGATGTAGGAAGTTGCAGATGGAAATTGCAAATTTTCATTCTCTTCTTGATGATGAATGATGATTGTTTTGAAAATGTAAGGAGGACGGGTTGCTTTATGTTGAAGTTGATCCATCTGGAGCAGATGGTTGGAAATTGGATCCAGTTGTCAAACTTCTCAAAGAGGGAGCTGTTGGGGTCATCCCTACTGATACCGTGTATGTTGCTCCTCCTCTCCCTACCAAGCTATGTTGAGAAAGTGGTACTTGCGATTAAAGGTCATATTATGTTATGTACTCAATTTTCTTTCTTTAGGTAGTTGGTTGTATCAATATTTTAAGAGTTATGTTAACATAACAGCCTCTCTCTCTCTCTCTCTTCTTTTTTCCTTTTTTAAACGTTATGTTACCTTACTGAATAAAGATTCATGAACTCTTGTGCAGAATATTAGGAATTTTTTAATGCATGTTGTTAGTATCCCATGAATAAAAAGGAATTTCCCTTTTTTTTTTACCTTTTATTTGTTTTAAATGATGTTGGTAATTATTTCCCCTGCCACTATTTGACATAACATGTATTATGCTGACCTTGTTTTTAGTTATTTATTTATTTATTATTTTTTATTTGATGACTTCAAATGATTCTTGTGTTGATACTTGATAGGTACGCAATAGTTTGTGATCTGAAAAGTCAGTCAGCTATTGAACGTCTACGAAGGTAGATGCTGTTGTTTGTTTTCACTCGCTGTTAAGATCTCTCCTCCAAATTTCATCATCCTTCATTCCTTTGGTGACAAGCCCCTCTTACTCTGTCTTTCAGAATTAAAAATATAGCAACTTCGAAGGCAAGGACTTTGCTCCTCTTTGGTCTCTTCTTTGACATACTTATAGAGTCTTGGATGGCATTGAACTAGCCAGTGGGAAGGACACGTGTTTAAACACTTTTAGCTTCACTTGATTGATGGTGCAAGCCACAATATCTCATAGTATTATTGGTTGTAATATCATTTACTTGCATCATTTTCAATACTAGTGGTATTTTTATGCTTCCTGATACTTCATATTAAATGTGCAGCCCCTAAGTATATTGTGTCATTCCTTCCGGGACATTGACACATATACAACGGGATTCCCTCGTGGTAATGGTCAAGGTACTACAAACATATTTCGAGCTGTGAAGCATTGTTTACCTGGGCCTGTAAGGACTATTATGGATGATTTCTTTGTTTATTATTTGTTCATTTCTGGATGAGGAAATCTAAGGTACCCAATAGTCACATTCTAAAAGCCGTTTTAAGAATGACAAACTGTTATGTGCATCACATTTGAAGAGATTTGGGAGCCCCCGCCACCCAATGGCTTTTCCCTTGGTTGATCATTGTCTCCTTGACCTAATCATTTTGTATGTCTATGTTTGCCTTTCCATGTGTATTTCTTCTTCTTTGTCTTCTTCTTCTTCTTCTTCTTCTTCTTCTTCTTCTTCTTCATCCTTTGTGGTGGAGAGATTGTGGTAAAATTTCTTCTGAAGTCCATATCATGTGCTGACTGCTAGTACTTGTCCTGAAGATCTTTGGTTTGGGACAGTTTCCGGGGCAATCTGAAGAGTCTTTGGCTTTGCTGTCTCTGCGAGTGTGCCATAGTGCTTGGATCATACTATGATGCTAGTGTACTTAGTTGCTTTTGACTGGATGGCTTTGGGTATAAAAGACTCCTCAAATTCCTCAAACTTCTGATATGGAGATTATGGACTTGTAAATGGACTCCCTTTTTTTTTTCCCCCCCTTATTTTTTCTCTCCTGTTGTTACAGTACACTTTCATCTTAACTGCAAGTAAAGAACTGCCAAAACAGTGCACGAGATATGGCACTACAACTTCCAAATATGCATACCGGAAAAATGTAGGTGTACGCATTCCTGATGATAGTGTATGTCAAGCAATTCTAGAGAAGATGGATGCACCCTTGATATCAACAAGGTAACTGGAAATTTGCTATACCTTGATTTAATTTGTCTTTTTGCAATTATTGATTACACAACTAACATAGTTTATCTGGTGGTTGTTTTCCACACACACATTATTATTTTGATAAAATTTTCTTTGCTTCAGTGCCAAGTCTCCAAAGGAAAATGGGTGGATAATTGATCCAGTTGTAATAGCTGATGTATATGGACCAGAGGTATTACTCTCTCTCTCTCTCTCTCTCTCTCACACACACACACACACACACACACACAGGTGCTAGTCTTTCTTTATGAGCTTTGGTTTATTTTATATCAAATGGAACAACTAGTTGGTGTATTTCCTCAATTTGCATGAACTGAAATAGTTTAACTGTCCTATAGAAATCAAATAATTTCTATAGCAGTTGAGGTCATTCAGCAACTTTCCCAAAATTTGAGTGGAAAAAATTTGCATGTGTATTTCAAGTCATGCACAAGGATTTTCTTTCGTTTTCAATATCTCTTGGTCTGGATTAATTTACCTATAAACATATTCTGGGATTTGAAGAAATGACTCTGTACAACTGAACTCAACAAGCCTCAATCTTAACTACTTGGGATTTGCTACATGGACCTGTCTTTTTTAATCAGCTCTAACAGTTTCTAATGGCCTCAAAGCAATGTTATTTTGGCCGCCTTATTGTCTTTTGGCACTTTCAACCTGGATCAATGCTTACTTTGTTAAGGATCACGTCACAAATATGACCTAAAGCTATTGTTTATTCCATAATTTCATTTCCTAATGACTTCATCTTATTCAAATAATAATATAATGGCTGTCTAACAAGGTACAGGGTTGTGCTTTCAAATGATAAGGGAAAAACACCAGAATGAGTTCTATTACATATGTTATCAACAATTTCTCAACTCACAAAGAAAATTTACTTTTTGTGCACTAATATGTCTTACTTGACTTGCTCTATTTTATCCATCTCAGGGTCTTGATTTTGTCATTGATGCGGGTGTTAGAGTGGCTGATCCGTCCACTGTAGTTGATATGACTGGGAGTTTCCCAAGAATCATTCGTCAAGGAAAGGTAATTGAGTCTGTACTATTCATATTTTGTCTCACATTGCATGGTTTAATTGCATATGACGTGTAACTGTTTTTCTCTATATGTGAGCTGGTTTTGGTAGTATGAGTTTGTTCTCTCTCTCTCTCTCTCTATATATATATTGAAGCAATTGTGTTTTTAGCCATTGAGGCAATGCTTCTTGTGATGTAATGACACTTGCATCTGTATTGAATTAGATGATTGGTTAATGGATTTCAGGGGCCTAAACAACCCTGGATGGTGGCAGAAGATGATAAAGATTCTGCTGTAGAAGAAGAAGAGCCCACCCCTTATGCTGCTTAAAATCCAATAATTCATCTTTGCTTACCTTGTACAGAGCTTAAGATTCGTTGATAGTAATCAATGGTGGATTAGTTGTTTTGTTTGATGTATATGTATCATATTTGATTTTGAGAAGAAAATAAGAGTTGTATGATTTGTGAATGCTCAGTTCTAAATGGAAGGATGTAGATTACTTTAATGGTTTTTCATCTTGTTCTGTTACCATAAAAAATTGTTGCATAACATATGCTACAAGTTATGATTCAAATTGGTATTGATTATTAACAATTGTTTTCTTTGGTTATTCCGGTGGTGGGATTAACAAATAGGCAAATTAAAATTGGTTATGACCCATTGTGTGCTTAGTTATGTCCCAAAGTGTATCCAAGTGTCTTCAATTATGTTTTAAAGTATCGTTAATTATGACTCAATGTGATTATAATTAATGAGTCCAATTTATTTTTTTAGATCAAACGAGTGAATGTAAGAATGCATATATATGGAATGCACATTTTTTTTTGAAGTGTGTAATGTTATATATAAATGATTTTTTTACTCAATTAACAGATATAAAGGTAGGGAGACTCATTAACAAACATACATGGAACTTACTACCTTTGGCTTTAGTGGAAAGAAAATTTGATAAGAAGGTTTTCTCTGTCAGAAATTGTAGCGATTTTAATTTTTTTAAGTCATTATTTATTATTATTATAATTATTATTATCTTATTTTATTTTTGGCTTTATTAATTATGTGGTCACATGAGAATTTCATGTGATATTTAATTATAGATAATTAATTTGAATATTTATTATATATATATATATATAGGGGTTTTATTTTATATATATAAAAAAAGTGATATATATATAGTTTTATATTTATATTTATATATATTGGAATTGTGTTGTGTTGTATTATATAATATAATATTATATAATAGTTAAAGTAGATTAGAATAGGGATTAGGTAATCAAAAGAATAGAAAAGAGAGAGAGAGAGAGAGAAATCAAAGCAACCGTGCCCCATCACAAATAAGAACTATTTTGTTTTGAATAGGGGGATTTTTTTTAAGATTCCTGATATTAAGATTTTATAGCATAAAGGATATCAAATATTTTTATAATGTCTAAGGTCCCTCAACATCAACTCAGAGAAAATTCGATCTCAGAGAAATTCTTGATCCATCCCAGAGAAATTTTGTTCCCAGAGAAATTTTGGATCCATCCCAGAGAAATTCTCTTTCCAGATAAATTCTAATTTTCTCAAAAGCCAAACAGTCCATTAAAAGAAAATTAAAGACATAACTGGGTAATAGCAAGAGGGTAAGTAGGATTCACTTGGATAATCACAATACCTTGAGAGCTCTTTTTTCATGGAAATCCTTTAAAACTAATCCTTTAGGAGTTGAAAGCAAAGCCCTTGTTGCAGTGAAAGAAAATTCTAGAACTCAAATCTAGAGAAAATCCCTCTCAAACCTAGAGAAATTTACTCAAATTCAAAGAAAATCTCACTCTAACCCAGAGAAAATTGCCAAATCAAGAGAAAATTCAAGGATAATCCAGAGAAAAATGTCAAATTCAGAGAAAATTCGATCTAGAGAAAATTGCCAAATCTAGAGAAAAGTGGCCAAATCCAGAGAAATTCAACACTGTTAACACTGTCAGCAAAAAATTTCTCTAGTTTGTAGGAAACATTGTATTCAACACTGTCAACACATTTCTTTGGATTCAGAGAAATTTTGAACCTGAAAGTAATAAAAAAAAGGTGCAAGTAACAAAAAGAAAGGTGCTAAATTCAACTTGAAAGCATTATACTAACAATGTTTGCAAGTTCCAGAAACATTGTGCCTTTGGATGTTCCTACATACTTCACCTAGGAACAATCAGATTTGGTTTATTTTATCCTTTCATTGATGTTAGCCGAAGACCAAATTGCAGCCAATTCACCATGACTTCACAGTGTGAAAATCTAGACTTACATATTGACAGTACAAGCTTCCTTAGAGTACAAGCTTGATTAAACAAATGTATGATCCTGTTAAGTCACCCACTTCTCCCGAAACAAACATATGTTTTAAAGAATTCATTGGACAAAATCTGTTTTCAAGTGGAGTTTGCGTCAGTTTCCTTCACTGCTGCCTCTTCCTCAAGCTTCTTTTTCCAATATTCTTCAAGTGGGGGTCCAAATATTGCTTTTCCAGAAACAACTCCAATTTTGCGAAACCCAGAAAGTCAAAAGACGTTATATTCAACACTTAGAGAAATTTTGAATCTAAAGATCAACCTCTGTGGCTCGTTTATGCTTTCGGGTTCGATTCTTGTGAGTGTAAGGGAAGGAGAAGACCAGAGCTCGAACTCACGAAAGGGATGGCGATGATGGTGGTTAGTCGGCAGCACTGCAGCGACGAAGGTGAAGAGAGAGAGAGAGAGAGAGAGAGAGAGAGAGAGAGGCAACAGTGAATGAGAGACACAACGGTCGAGAACGAGATGTGCAGAGGTCAAGAACGAGAATAGAGAAGAAAGAAGAGGGAGAGAGAGACATAGAGAGAGAGAAAGCGGGAGTGAGGGACCTTAGACATTATAAAATAATATTGTATAGCATAAAATAATATTACTAAAAATGGAAGAGGGACCTTAGACCCATTTTCCCCCAGTATTAAGATTTTATAGCATAAAGGACACTTAATATTTTCATAATGTCTAAGGTCCCTCAACATCGATCCAGAGAATTTCTCTGGACAAATCACAGAGAAAATTTCAAATTTCTCTGGACACATCACAGAGAAAACTCCAAATTTCTTTGGACAACAATAAGGATTGGTGCTTTGCTTCAAAGAAAATTGGGTTGGTCCAGAGAAAATCTCTGATTTGGACTGAATTTTCTTTGTGTTGAACTAGTGCTCTACTTCAGAGAAAATTGGGTTGGTCTAGAGAAATTCTCTGGGTTAAACTAGTGCTCTACAGAGAAAATTGGGTTGGTCGAGAGAAATTCTCTGGTACTTCAGAGAAAATTGGGTTGATCCATCTCTAGTTTGGACTGAATTTTCTCTAGACCAAACCAGAGAGAAATTTTCTTTGATTCAAATATAAAAAAGCTGTTCAAGCTCAAATCTTATTGGATTCTCAAATGCTCATAGAAATCATAAACAACGAGATTGAGCTTACATGGGATAAAGGAAATTTCTCTGAATTCTCTACCTTCTCTCTCTACAACCCCCTTCTGCTGGACTTTCTGGAACACTCTAGAGAAATTTGAAAATTTCTTTGGCTTCACCGGCCTCCTCACAAAATTACCTTTCTAGAGAAATTTTAAATTTCTCTGACCTCCCTGGCCTTTCCTGGACTCTCCATCTTCTCTCTGTACAACCCCCTTCAGCTGGACTCTCTGGAACACTCCCAAGAGAGCTCAGCGAGCCCTCAAACCTCCAAAGCCTCTATTTCAGCTTCAACACACTCTTTGGAACCATCCTTCTCATGCTCGGCTACAACTCTTCTCTCTCCGACATTGATTTAGGCAACAATTTGATCAACGATGACATGAACGACGAGTTTGCCGATGATATCGGCTGTGACATAATGAAGGTCTCCTTTGTGATCTCGCTGCTCTTAGGGTTCGAGTTGAGCATATTAGGTTTTGTGAAGTCAAAAGTCAACAATTGAGGTTGCGATTGGGGAAGATAGCTCGCTGGAGCCACAGAGGCTGGAGTCAGAGTTTGATCGTAAAGAGACAAGGAGGAAGACGACGGAGGACAAGGCGGTCCGCGGCGGAACCGATCGTGGCCGGTCCGGTTCAAAAGTAAAATGACTTTTTTGAACTTGGAAACAATGAAATTAGTGAGTTCTCTGCAATCCAACTGATTTGAAGAAGGTTGTTGTTGTTATTGCCTTTGCTGAGACTAATGAGAAATTGTACGAATCAGATGTTCCATGCTTTTCAATTCAACTGAAGCCGCCTCTTGTTTCGCCATCTGTTCATCCATCTTCGGAAACCACAACAGCTCCACTGCCATTGAAGCTATATATATGTTTGTGTATGCATTCTAGAGAGAGAGAGAAGTGGGAAGCTAAGGTTTGATTTCAGTCAAATTTCTCTGTGATATATGGGCGTGGGAGTTGAGGAACCTTAGACATCATAAAGTAATATTATGGATCTTTTCCATTACTAAAAATGGGAGAGGGACCTTAGACTAATTTTCCCATTAGAATAGGGATTATGTAATCAAAAGAATAGAAAAGAAAGAGGGAGAGCAGCCGAGTGAGAGAGAGAGAGAGAGAGAGAGAGAGAGAAATCAGAGAGAGAAAAAGAGATTAGTTCCAGAGAAAGAGAAGCGACTGTGTGTGTGAAAGAGAAATGAGAGGAAGATCAGGGTTAGGGTTTTGTTTTGGTGGCTCGATTAATCCTTTAAATATTTCTTTGATCTTCAAAAAAATTATTGCGAGTACAAAACCCACTTCCCTTGATTTATATTTAATTTGTTGTTTTTATTTATTTATTTTTATTTATTTGATGTTCAATTAATTTCATATTTACATGTAGATGATTTTAATTATTTTGATTAGTTGTGTATGTAAGGTTTAGGATTTTTAGATGATTGATTGATTTTAATTATTTTGATTAGTTGTGTATGCAAGGCTTAGGGTTTTTATATGAATTTATTTTATGGTTGTAATCACACTCATGGATATATGAAATTAAAATAAATTAGGAACCCATAGATAAATTCCTTACACTCCACCATGACTCCATGGATTGTTGTTTTATTTGAGTGTTGGTAGAGTGTATGAAAAAAAAAATTAGGATTATTAAATTTATTTGAATGCCTTAGGTTTGGCATTGTTATGTTTATTTTCATGAGTGAGATGTTGTATATATATATTGTTGCCTCGTTTTCATGAGCAGATGAGTGTTTTGATTTACGTGAGTACGTATATGCTAACCATCCGAAGAGTATGGATCAAACTCGGGACGATATCCCGGTACAAGTTTGGCTTCAGAGCGGTGTTAGGTATCCAGGAGACACATGAGATATATGTGTAGGCCGGAAGTGGAGGCCGAAGTGGTGGAGTTAAGGTACAAAGAATTTAATCATGAGTTTATTAGTATAGTGTGAATTATATTGATATGTACATCTTGAAAAATAGTAAACTATCTCGTTAAATTATGAAATTTGAGCAGAGGCATGTATACGTGATTCTAGACAACTTTT